AATCGTATGCAGGACACATACCGAAAACGGGATTGATTAATTTCAAAAACTTGAAGGTTTTCATCAGTGAGTTGTATATTCGGCAAGTCCGGGTTGATGTAGCTGGTAAGCCAGTTGCTAGTTGTAATTCTGTCTTTTTCGGCTATTCTCCTGGTTCGATCTCCCGTTCTTTTTTTCTTTCAGCCTGCAGCCACGACCATCTTAAAAAGAATCTCATGCTAACTGAATTTCGTATCCATGGGGGACACTTGGGTTGTCAGATGAATCTATGCCTCCCTCCCTGTCTGCTCTCATATCGTTTTCGTTTCCCAGTGTAGCCTTATATTTTAGAAATCCGTACTCTTGGCTGGCTTTCTCAGACAGGGCAGATATTGATGTACAGAGGAATTCGTGGTACAGTATCCTGTCGGCATAGGTAGGTGACTACTCTACCCGACCAGCTCAGCTCCTTGCCCGACATCCTTTTCATTGCATCAGGTATTTGACGGGCTTTTTGGTCGTTTCTTGTCGTTCCTACTCAACTGTGTGTGTGGTTACTGTATCACAAATCTTTGAGACTGCGGAACCTGTCCATCTCAGTATCCTTTCTCACAATTTTTCCTTCATTTCTTGAGTTTTTCCTAACATGGGTATCATACCAGCGGTTTTAGGTCATCGTAGAGTTGAGGCTTTAGTCGATGGTCTCTGGGATACAATTGGCCATTCGACAGGTTGGAGGCCATTTTTCGTGTTGTCGTCGATCGCCGTAATCATTACCATAGAAAATTCGTCTCCCGTCCATGACCTATTTCTTGATGAATGAGACCCTTTACTTCAACGGAGCACGGGGTCAACCCCAATGACGTCCTTGGTAGATGAGTGCTATATATAAACTGGTTTCATTGAAGGGCACTTTCCAGTTCTGTCACCTCTCGCTGCTACGGGGCTACCTTCAGATGTCTTCCTCACAAAAATCTGATAACTTTCCTCATCTGTTTCTGATTTCTTCACGTCGCCATAGATTGTTTGTGATGTTTCCCAGATTCTATGTCAATCTGGTAGAGAAGAAGTTACTGAGAATTTGAATAATCTGGCTTAAGCGGTAAGGGGTCAAAGTCGGCCTTCAGAGGGCGTGGTTGACATCTGTAATGAAGGCAACGTTTCATGAAAAATTGTCTGTTGAAACCTACTCAGATGCTCCTTCAAGGAAACCGAATTTCCTTGCTTTGAGTTGCTCTCAGCTGAGTTCAGGGAGCGTAATCGTGTTCTGCGCACCGAAAACTGCTGCCTATGTAGTTACCGTATTCTGCTTTCAGTAAATCTGATCGTGCTTTATAGTATAGATGACTCAGGCAGTACCTCTGCAGTGCAACGATCAAGACCATGGTCAGCTGTTTAGCTTTTTTCTTTCATCTTCTACACCAACTCTTACCGCCCCGAGAAGATCTTTATCTCCTTTCTGACTCCTCCTTTGAATTATATAGTGAACACGTCTTTACTGTAGTCGGATCGATCCGATTTACAAGTCAGTGGTATAGGAGATTTCATTGATTTAAACGGCTATCAAAACCTTCCTGGACCAAGTTTCTGCTAGCGACCCCACATGGCTCTAGTGCTCTACTCCCCCTCCAACCAACAAATTTTTATGAGGCACACAGATTACTGATATACTCCAGGCGTTCATTCCAGTATCCTTACAATATTGACCGACCAGTTGGGCCGCCCGGTTTACGCCAGGATCTCATTCCTTACATTTCTAATCAGATAGAAATGCCCCCCCCCCTTAAGTGTAGAAATGTAGAGGAATGTAGGATAGAGTTGGGTTTTCCATATCACTCTCTTATCGTAATCATAAACTTTTGCGGACGGACACACCGACATACCGACATACCGACAAACACCCAAACCGACAAACCGACACACCAAGTTTCTGCCTTATAAATGAGAGAGATATTAATCATTTTCTTTTCCAAAGAATCCCATGCAAAGGTACTAGATTGGGGTCATACCATATTCGTGCCGGTTTTGATGTAGGAAGTTCCCGGAGAGTTACCAACACTGGGGTATATGGTGCATTGGCTAGATCTACAAAGGCACCCGTTGATGGATAACATGTACCGGGCTCGTCCCACTGAGCATAGAACATGATAGTGTATGTTCACCTGGACAGTTTATTCAATGACATTTGAGAACGAGACAATGATTAGTTGAGGGAATCGTTGTTTGTTTGGTATCCAGATGTCTCTAAATAGTTCTAGTGAGCCAACCATTGCTCTAACTGTTTTCCTCGCTTATGTCTACAAACACAGGTTATACTTACTAGTTTTGATTTATGTCATGCCCAGTGCTCTCATGGCTCCCACTCTTTTTTCATCGTATCAATAGGAGTCGGTTTGTTTGCAATTCCTCGTAGTAGCGCACTCTACATTCCCGTGGTACCTTGCCGTGCAAGGCACTACAGAGAGCTCCGGTACAAGCAAGCCTCCTCCTCATTTTTTTTATTCTCAAAAACGGCCATTACAGCTTTTTCTCATGGCAAATATTAAATTGTTCTCTGATCCATTCATTTTAACCTTTGAGCATCCATTTCTGCAGAAGATCTGCAAGTATCGTACCGTTCATCGATCATCTGAGCAGGCTGGTAAAAAGTCCGTCACCATAACTCTATGTAGCCAACATCATTAGCATCTTTGATACTAAACGTAGGCCCCAGTCGTAAAGGAAAACCTCGGGGCGAACTTATAACCCATATTAGGTTGATGCGTAATTATTGCGGATTTTTTCGCGGCCTTCTTCTCTGTCGATAAAGTTAAACTTTTGAATTCTGTTTCTGTAAAAGTAATCTTCTCGCTTCCCTTAACAGAAATATGTCTAGAAAGCCATCTTTATATACGCCAAATTATGCTCTATTACTTCGAGAAATGTTGGAAGGCGGCCCACTCATAACATGATCTCAACGAATTTTTCGGCGATGGAACAGTCAGCCAAAGCCGAAAAAGGAATGGAATTTGCTTCTACGACCGCTCTATTCACCAACAGAAACTCCTATGGATTATCACATCAGTAGCCCTTTGAAAAATAGGTTGAAGAACACAACTTTCGACGAAATTAATGGCTTGATAGCTAACGTCTAGGCGTGATCGCCTCCAAAAACGAAACTTCTTCGTCTGTGGAATTCGACCATCTAGCAAATGGAAAGCGGTGCTTGACGTTAATGGTAGATATGTTCCGGAGCAATTATTAGAACATGTATTTGCTAGATATTTCGATCGTTTCTCCAAGTAGAATTTGTTGAAAAAATCCGCAATAATTATGCATCAACCTAATATAAGTTGACAAGCCCGAAATAATTCTGCTGTATGAGAGTGGCTAGAAACAGTTTATGCCACTTGCCCAACTCTTCAGATTTGGTTCATCAAGCCTTTGAGATCAACTGTTAGGTGCCAGATGATAAAAGACGTTAAATACTGACCCGAAGATCGGTTACAGGCCAACTCACTTCCAGTACCTTGATTAGTAAAAATGACTGGACGTCGACTACATAAGATAGAGTTCCGCCGACTTTGTTGGGCAATGATCGCGTTCACTGATGATACGGAAGAGACATTAGACGATCATAGATAACTCACCACATATACGCCCACCTTTTGGATGCTCTAAATTCCCATTCTTATACAGGAATTCATGCAAATGGAACGATGTTTATGCTTTTTCATCCCATATTCATTGAGCCGCGAATATGTGGCATGATGAAAAACAGCACCGTTTTCCATTCCACCAATCGAAACCAGTTTGTTCCAACTAGGTTTACATGTTGACGAGATCGGTTAGCCCTGCTGATTTCAACGCCGGATAAGCCGCGCAAGTCAATGCGAAACAGGCACTCCAATGCTACGGCCATTCTCAACGGGGAAGTTTACGAGGCGCACTTCGAGAAGATTGGCTAATACTTATGAAATTATCGTTCTTTTATTCCCCATCCTTCTTGAAGATTATGTGGACGGCTTCACTTTCCGCCCCCACTTTCCGCGCTGCGTTCAACGTCGCGTGCGATGCCACCGGGTCATTTTATGGCTACGTGGCGTTTCACGCGAGCGGGTCGCAGCAGATTATATTGTGGGTCGATTTTTATCTCTCTTAGATCTTTCAATCTTTAGTTTCAAGGTTTTGTTTTCACTCCCTTGTGTAAACTGTCCGAAATTGATCCAGCATGCTTGCTGCACGTCTGTTCTATGGGCGGGGCATTTGCAGCTCGGGGTCATCTACGTGTGACCGTCATTGCAGTTTGGTAGCGCGTGGTGGCATCGTTTCCTTAGCTGGACGGATTCATTTGCTCGCACATCCACAGATAAATCTGCCCTTCTCTGGATTGTTTGTGCAGTACTTCTACTTTCCTTTTTGTGCTTGATCAAACCATAAATATTTACCTTTTTGGTAAAAAAATCCTTTGATATCGTTCTTAATCATATGACTTATGAGACGTATATTCCATTTATTTTTCCTTTTTTGGGTTACCCTTTCATCTTGATTTATGAATTCAGGTGCGCTAGATTAAAATGAACATAGTGTGTTTAAGAAAAATTGGGGTTCGACAGATTACCTCGCGAAATATTTTTGTTTTATAACACTCAAAAGAAAACTGGTTCGTTCAGCTTCGTTGTTTTGGCATGGTACTTTATCTTTAAAACGGTTACAGTACCATCCTATTCTTCAATCAATTTCTTGTGGCTTTTTCCTTTTGTTTATGATGGCATGCTGCTCTTCATTCTGATTTGAAATGAGCCATAAAATAGCACTTTTTCTGGTCAAACTTTTCCATCTCTTGTAAGACATTTTCTTGGTTGGAGCGAGAACGTAACTGTTACTCTGTTATATCTTATCTTTGTTTGGTTGTGCTAATACATTTGACCTCGACAGAAGGGGCGCGGCTGACCTTTTCACTACTATCTGTTATCTGTGTGATGTGATCTTGTCCCTACTTGGGCTCTTACAATTATTTATTCAGTATTGTTTCAGTGGGTATGTTGGCTCTGGCGGTTCTCGGCCTCATTGGGCTCGTTTCGGTAAGCGTTCAGTTTACTTGGCATTCGACACTGCCTTCAATTGATGTCGTGTATTTTTTAGTGGTCTCATGCTGCTGATACAGTAACGGTCACGAAGCAGGTGTACTTTGACATCAGCATTGGAGGCAAGCCGGTCAGTTACAATCTTCAGTAGTTGAAACTAATCTATGAAAGGACCAAAAATCTGCATATGATTTGAATTGCTGGACTGGATAGGTTTTTTCCAGTCTTTTCCATTTACACCTGTTCAATCTATTCGGTATCTATAATTTCCTCATTCATTCTACAGAAAATCATTTTATTCCAGTCATTTGCAAAGTTCAATCTCGTTCAGGCCGGCCGTATTGTCATTGGACTGTTCGGGAATGCTGTGCCGAAAACCGCCGAAAATTTCCTCCAACTCGCAACTGGATCGAAGGGATACGGCTACAAGGGCAGCAAATTCCACCGTGTCATCAAGGACTTCATGATTCAAGGTTAGAGTATTCTTCCACTGTTCGTCTTCCCCCACTCATTCTTATATATTATTTCCAGGAGGAGATTTCACTCGTGGAGACGGCACCGGTGGCAAGTCGATCTATGGTGAACGTTTCGCAGATGAGAACTTCGATTTACACCACTACGGTCCCGGCTGGCTTTCAATGGCCAATGCTGGCCCTGACACCAATGGATCACAGTTCTTCATTTGCACAGTGAGTCCTGACACGAAGAAATGTAAAGCTGCTTACTTGCTTCCTTAGAGGAAGCGCTTCGTCATATAAAACAATTCGAAGACATCTGATTTCAGGTCAAGACCCCCTGGCTGGATGGACGTCACGTCGTCTTCGGCAAAGTTCTTGAAGGCATGAGCGTCGTCCGCAAAATCGAAAGCACTGAGACTCATGTAAGCTTCTAGTTGAGCACCTATGCACACACAGCACATAGCTCTTAACGATGAGTGTTCTTGCAGCCTGGAGATCGTCCAAAAGAGGATGTGGTCATCACCGACTCTGGTGAGCTAGCGCTTGCTGCTCCATTCGAAACCGAAAAGGCCCCTGTCAGCGAATAGATCACCATATCGAATTGACTCGTTCACTAGTTAGGTACCAATAATGTATTTAACGAGTAGAACGCCAGTCAGGCTTGTTCTTTTTTTAATGCCTTATTCCCATCGTATCTCTGGCGTTCGTGTCCTATCCACGGGGTTGTTTACTGGCGTTTCGTATAAGCAATATTTTTGTTTACTGTGATTGTTTTACCTCGATAAACTATTAAACGATGATCTTTGATTGTTTGCATAAACTGTGCAAAGCTGAATCATGTTAGGCGCTGTGTAACGAAGCTATCGAGATGCTATGTTGAAATATTTTCCGTTGAGAAAATGCTTCGATAATGGGTGCATTTAGCAAAGCGAAATGATGGGAAAAGAATGACGTTTAATTTATGCTATCCAGGGGCATCGAAAAATTGCGAGGGATTACAGTTATACATCCACAGACTTGTGTATGTATGCTTTTCTTTCCTTCATAACATTATGCGGTCAGAACATGCTCTTTCGATGTTTTTTTTTTGATGTTTTGAGTAGGATTTGCTTACGAAAATAATGAGTACCTAAGCCATACATTCCCTTTTTCCGTTGAAATAGTCGCCGTGATGCGTCATGGAATGGCATCATGTAGAGCATTTGCATCTGCAAAGCAGAGCCTATCAATTGCAACAAAATGTTCCCAGGAATGCTATAGCATTTGTTTTTCTAACTATAAGGCTAATTTTGGTGATGTTCGAACCCACAGCAAGAGAAAGCACACCACATAAGTGCAGACACATACGCATTTATGAAAAACATCACTATTCACAAATTGCGCGCACGTTTGGGATTGAAATCCTTTTCATTCCTTGATGCAGAGCTTCGACAGTAATGGCAAGTGATTTTGTCATCCCCAGCCATCGATATATAATTTTCAACGGGATGGCCTTTATTGCTAACAACCTACATTGAGACCCATGGGGACTAAAGTCTGATTTGGCTGAGATATAAACACAACAGAAAGCTGTAGCGGTACGTTGCGGTACCGTTAGCAGTAGAACTCAGTAACAGGGTCTTACCACCCAAGAGCGTTGGTATTAGGATGAAGACGAAGATGAATCAAATTATCTGTGTCAAATTTCTCATTCTATGGAGATCCGATTGGATTGAGAACTACAGTTATTGATCAATCGCCTTAAGATGCGCCACGCCTTCAACGGGGCGTGTGGAACTCTGCTTAAAACTAATACAACAGCTCAATGCCCCGCTAAAAGGCCAATGTGCCAGATGACTCAGACAGACAGTGACCGTCCTTCTAAATGGCATCTTGGTTGCCCATTAGGGAACATTTGCATTTCAATATTTCTACATCGATGTCAAGTAAAAGATTTGGCCAAAAAAAAAAAAACAGTATAAACAGCTATACCTACCGAACAATACGATATACAAACGCTGAGGCGGCGTTAGTTAGTTAGACGAATCGTTTTTTTGAGGAAACTCCTAAAAATCCTGAAACTCCGAACATTTTATCGCTATATTACTCGAAAAATGCATGGTCCTTCCATCCGCGGACTGTAACTCTATAAAAAAATTCGGTATTTCCTACCCATTACATTTATTCCACAAATTCACAACAACCGAATAACTTAGATATCAACTTATGCAAGGTGAACACAAGCGAAGATAACAAACGATCGTACAGCATTTTGTGTATACAACAAGGCTAGTAATTCTATGGAACCCAAAAATAAAACATGGATTGGCATCGTGTTTTCAGGCACTACAACTAAAATTCCCGTTATTTTGTGTTAATGATTGTAACAATGAGGAAACACACATTGTAGGAAATCATAGAGCATTTAGATTTTAGACTGACTAGCTACACCTAAACAAGTAGTCAAGCGGATGTCTACATTCAGCATTCATAGAGATCCCAATTTTAGATGAAAATGAAAGGAGAGCTTCACCTCAGTCATCAACTGGAAAAACTCGTTTTTATAAGCAATTTCTCAATCCCTCAAATGCTGAACATAGATGAAGATATTCCACCACAAAGAACAACCAGGGGAAGTGATTCGAAGGCAAACTCGATGAAAAACTGCCAAGTAAGCGAGAATATGTACAATTATTGACAAGCCGAAGAACAATAAATCAATAAAAGCAAGCAGATATGGAGTCATAAGTTTTCGAAAGCAGTTGCGAAAGAAGCAGAACACGATATCTGTTCTTTCCCACTGAACGTTTTCGGATCAGAGGTTTAAAATAGAATTTTAGGGGGATATACAAATGAACATCTTCCCGCTGACAAACCATAATCCCGAAATTCCACCCTCAAAATACAGATCAACACCATTTCACCTCCCAAAAAAACTGTTGTGGGCGATACTGGATGAAACGAGAGACTACTTTTCCCTAATCAAATCGCCCCACCTGATCTACTCTTTTCAGGCATGAGCAAGCAGATTTAGTGGCTAGCTACAACCTCAACTGTGCATGAAGTGAAATATAAGCCATGCAATTAGACGAAAATTTGGTACTGCCTGCAGCTCATCAAATTGTCCATAAACCCAAGCCTTTCGAAAAACCTCTTCCGGAAACAAAAGTAATCCCACAGGGAGCCCTTTTAGCAGCGGGCATAGTTTATAAAGCATGACTGTTGCCTTATTTTATAATATTAATGTTAAATGATCGATTAAGCAAATGCTGTTAATTCGTGTGTGTCAGTATTAACGAGAAACCAAGAAGAACAATTGGATGGTAAGAGTATTGAAAGGTTAAAATGGGGGACTTCCCTTCTTCTTGCTCAGAGTTCAACGGTCGTCAAGGAGGACCAAGAGCACCTTCGGCAATTTTTGAGGAGAGTACTCTGAAAAGGAACCAGTCACACTTGGATATTTCATCAAAGGCAGGTGATCATGGAAAATCTTATGCTGCCAGGCAACAAACTGAATGCCAAAAACTGAAAACGAAATTTAGCTGCAGGCATTTGTTCCAAAATAGGGAAAGACTCACAGATCTATTAGTAAATCCTCGAATGTTGTGTAAACATGCACTCTCTCTTCAAAGTCCATTGTGGCATTACGTCGGCGACAGTGGCTGGTGGGATGAGATGGTACGGTGAACAATTTTGGCACTATTGACGTTATTCCACTTTGTAAAGCAGATCTAAAGTCCCCATCAACCGTTTCCGGCAGCAGCCTACAAAAGAGCTTAACACGGGATTTCAAAAACAGACCAAATGTGGTAGAAGAATAGACAACGAATAAGAAAAACTGTGCAGAGGAAAACTTGAGATACTTCATTCCTACTGGTTCATAAACTCAAGTTTGCCTTTTTCGGACACTAAGCATTGGTTGCCGAATAGAACTACTTAATGCTTATGCGCCAGGGAAGTTTCTCTATGAAAAAGTACTTCTTTCGCCTGATGCTTCCTTTTCAATGAAACCTTTGAGATCCTGAAAGCTTTTCCATACCTCGGTTTTCTTCGCTTGATCTCAGACAAGGTTAATAAGAAAACGTTATTCCGGCTTACGTTTCGGCGTCCGAGTTCAAGCAAAGAAAACCAACGTTTGCGCTTTTTCCATAGTTTCGAGGTCAGAAAAGCATTAAAGTTTTGAGAATTCTCAAAAGTTTCGAGACCTTCACATGCTTGAGTTTAGAGGACAGAGTTATTGGACCACGCAAAGAAAAAATTTCCTCTTAAAAACATTTGGTACGAAAGCAATGAGTGGCAAAGAGGGTATGGGACAAAAGCAATGAAATGGGAAAACCTGATCTGAAAAACATTTGAAAGGTGATGGGTGCAGAAGGATTCAAGTCATCAGCTCAAGGCTCACAAATACACTTTTCGATGGAGAGGAAAATGAAATGAAAAATACGGAACAACGAAGACAACGAGAATAAAGAGGGATTGATAAGTCTACTCACGCTATTCGTAAGCTCCTTAAAAACTCGGCTTGCTCCCATTCTAAGTAGTCGTCCATGGAGTATTCGTTTTGTTTTTTCTCTTGACACGTGTCGTCTGAAACAGGAGGAATTCTCAGGAATTTTCGATGTTATCATGAAGTGCAGCACCATATGGCTTCCATCAAATCATAAAAAGTAAATTGTACTGCTTATTACATTCCTGCAAAAAGGCTTTCCTTCTATTCAAAGAAATTCGAAAACGAAGCAAAGATGGAGGCTTTCTGAGATTATTAATCAACTGCTGCATATACTACCGCGCACTTTTATAAAACCTTTTCCCCTAGCAGGCCTTGAAATGTGAGTCACTTAAAATGGCAACACCATTACTTGAGAACTAACAATAGTTATAGATAGATAACGATTGAGGTAACCCACAACTTATCAAACCCAAGAGAGTCGTTGAGTATGAATTGCATTCAGAACACATCACCCCCAAGAAAGCAAAACTTATAGCACCTTCTCCATTAACAACTTTGTTCTACTTCAAAACTGCAAACTTACGTAGGTATTTCTCATAGGCGGCCTTGGAGGCTTCAGAAATTCTGATTTGTGATGCTTTCATATGAAAGCATAATACATATTCGGATAGGTAAACTAGTAGATTGAATAGGATCAGGTTATATCCACGCATTAGTCAGTCTATACGCATAGCAGCAAGAATTTCTGAAAAAGCGTCGTAGGATTATGCTCAGCAGTTGCCAATAAAGGGAACGAGACATCATTTACGTCGACTTCACCACATTAACTGAGCGTAAACATGACAATGGAGCTTTATGGGAACAACAACAACAAAGGCATGAAGTCTTATAAAAGGGACTGTAGAACTTGTATCGAACGCTGATGTATTACTCCTGTATCCAATGAGAAGGCTGAACAGAAGGTTATCTAAATGCAATTAGATGATTCTTAAAAGATACGGACCGAATATTATCAGGCCAGTTCGGGGAACAAAAACTCTTCCGCCTATAGTAACAGTTTTGAAAACTATGTTTTAAGCCGGATCGCTTAATTACTTAACTTATCATTATAAATACACTCGGGAAGGGACTTTAGAAAAACGCATAAGGAGCCTATTACCATTACCTATACCCATATATGATACGATATGCACCAACACATTTCCAACACTTTTTTCAACACCTGTCCTTTCCTGAAGTTTTTCAAATAATTAATCATTTTTTTACACCAAACATTGGAGAATGTTCACTCTGATGAACAGTACCCACAACTACCCGCAAAAGTGATGCGTCTATGTAAGTAAGCCACTTTCCTCAGTTAATGAAACTCTCTCTGTGGACGAAAAGCACGGTGTTTACGGAACTATTGAAGGCTAGGACAAGATTCATCCGAGCTTTCCCTCCACTTTTGCTAATTCAGCGTTTAGAGATGAGATTTCCAATAATCTCACACTTTGCTTCAGATTAAGGCCTCAAGAGCTGCTCACATCGAAGGCGAGCATGAAATAGAAGTGGAGAGGTAAAAAAANAAAAAAATTTAAAGAATAGGAGAGAAAATTAGTATCAAGCTCAATTATGTTCATAAACGGGAACGTTAAATTCCTTTCTTTACTCCTAAAACACAGGATAGGTGTACTTTTCTTGCGCTTCCCAACTCGTTACAGACATCTGACGCAATAAATTGTCATTTGTCTGAAAATGACACGACATTTAAACGAGCTAATTCTTCCAAAAAAAGTGAGACCTCCCATCATGTTAAAATGAGTTTCTAAATAATCAAGCTTAGCTCAGCCAAGCTTATGAGACAATCTTCTCACATTTCAGTTAAGATTTGAGAACATGATTCCACTTACCATAATGAAATATCAACTCGAAATGAACTCCAAAAGTAGTGTAAGCACTATTTCTCAACACTTGAATACTCTTACTGTAATGATAGGGGACGAAAATTTGAAAACATGGTCATTCGATATAGGATCATCCGTTCGTAAACCTTTGAAAATCAAAAGAACAAATACTAAAACCATGGAAACCGATGACCTATAGATGAAGCAGCTAAACCGTTCCTGTTGACCCAAGTTCTACCTTCCTGAACCAGGTTCTGCGAGTAAAAGGATAGCAACCACAGCCTTATCTAATCCCCGGGAAACTCGGTCGGAATAGCCGTGTTGAACGTAGGAAATAAAAAATGCCAAAATTCAACGCCTCATTTGCTTCAGCAGTGGGTTCCCCTTATCCGTTTCTACCCCTTGACTAATCAAATGGACAAATATTAAAACCATATAAACTGCTGACCCATAAAAGAGGCAATTAAAAAGTCCCTGTTAACATAATTTCTTCTATATTCCTGAACCAGGTTCTGTGAGTAGAATGAGGGGAACGTAGTGCTTCCTAGTCCCTGAACATTGGTCAGATTCGCCATGGAGAGTAGAGGAAGGAAAAACGACGGAATTCGATGCCCAATTTAGGCGAATGGCGGGTTTCCCTTGTTAAGTTATATGGCTCATATTAACTTCACATTAGGCTTCCTTTCCTTTCTTTGCTTGAAGACTCGACTATTTGTAGAAGCTTTGCCTTTTTGATAATCGTACGGCTTCCTCTTTTCGTAGCTACCTCGTTGTGCTCGGGTATAGTGAATGCCCTAACGCTCCGTAAAATAGCTGTGGGTCGGCTGAGCTGATACTATGTAGGTGGAAAAGAAAACTGCTTACGACACTGTTCGGATTACATCACGTCAGAATGACGTTGTATCGCTCGAGGAATCGATTTGCTGAAACCGTGTATTTAGAAATATGAGCCGATTGGAATAGTTATGAACGCTATCTAGTCACGCCTACATGAACGGTTACATCTAATCTTATCCGTACCCTACTTAAAAGCTCATCCTCACTTCAATCAAAAATAAGTGTTTTGGATCGGTTTTCTGGACTCTTCCCTAAGAAACATGGAATTAAAGAAAATCTCTTCAATAATAACTGAAAAAGTCGTTAAAAGTTGAAACGCAAAGTCACATTCATAATGTCGAGCGAAAGAAAAGTTGCTATGACTTTGACTTTGATAGTGTTATTCAGGATGCACTGGAAACGTGAAACCGAATACAACTGACTAATAAGGCTTAGTAAATGTACAGAAGTGAAGAGAAACTCAGCAAAAAAACAATTCAGATCAAATACTGAAAGATGGTTCTAACATATCCACTCCAGGAGAAGAATTTCGAAAATTATGCTAACGGAGTACGAAAAAAATTCAAACACAAACTGGTCATATGATAATCGAACACTCGCTCTGTATAACAGTTACTCTAACTCAACGATTTTGGAGGAAATAACGAGAAGATAGAAAAAAGACAACGAAAACAAGTGGTAACAAAATGGCCCCGCGAATTCGCCCACCCACCAGGGTCGCCACGGCAAAGGGTAGTTGTCGATCGATACCAGCTGAGTGGTGTCTGCGTGTCTCTAAAGGCTGTGTCCTTTCTTTCTCTGGTGTCTAACACAAAAACATTCCTCCGTACTCATTAAAGGTCGAGCGGATTAGGTTGGAGGTATTTATAGCTCCCATGTCTTTCAAAGATTACGGCCAAGGATTAGAGGCTGTGTGGGTCGGGAAAAGGATGTAAAGAGCCCGATCCTGAGCGCTGTGTCCTGGTAGAATGAAGCGCGTCAGCTTCTGCGCCACCTTCATCCACTTCCCTAGTTTTTGGGAAACAAAATTTTGCGGTTGTTCTCCTTAAGATGTAATCATAGTGAAGAGGTGGTGTAGTGGCAAGTGGTGCACTACCTCAGGCGAATCGCCACTGGTTCGAATCCCGGTTCGTTATTCACCTCGGCCAACCAGGCTTTCCATCCCTTCAGGGTCGGTTAATCGGTGTCAGACCCGTCTGAGAGAATAATAGCACTTACTTGTATACCGGCTGGCCATCACAAATTATTGCATAAGCCACATAGGCATTCAGTATGTCACCACGATTCTGAATGGACGTCGAGTGCGGGGCGCATCCCTCATGCGAGATTGAAGGCTTAGTTCACGATAAAAATGGTTCCCGAGATTCCCCAACAGGATGAGTTTGTGGCCCCCGCGTATACCATATCTGGCACTATTATGTCTGAAAATGGCCGAGTTAGAGAGTTATAAAGGCTCAATGATTGGCCCGTGTGTATCCTCGGACGAGTTTCACAGGCATTGTAGAGGTTGCACGGATCACAAGGGAGCCCATGTAAGAAGTTCAAACAGCCTGACATGACCCATAGTGGCAGTGAAAGACAGTTCTGTGCAGTTCTGGCTTGATGTAGTCAGCTCTTTGTGCAATTGCAGTAACAGAAATCTCCTTCGAAGACCCCTTCCATGTTATTTCTGTCATGGCAATCTCGTCCAACCACTATTTCCCCTAATTTTGAGGAGACAAATTTTTCTCAATCGGCGAATTTTTTCGCTTTCTTCACTACTGATGAACAGTTCCCAGTCTATACTTCCGCTTTTCGAATAAAAACGGGTACCTCAGAATTATCGGGAACTGTTCATTTAATGTACGCCTCAAGACTTTAGACCTTATCCTTTTATCATTAAGAGGAAAAGCCCTAATTAGCAGTTCCGAATGTTGAGCATTGCTTAAGAATTTCTCAAGAGAAGTCTTTGTAAAACAGGGGTGGCAGGCTAATTTTTCATTAAAATGAAGTTCTCAAAGAAATACGAATACTTAGCCGCTTAGAATGCCACCATGCTTGGAGAGGAGGTCACAGGCAGGCTGGGAATCACGCCTTCTACTAGTAAATACCAGATGTTCAGATGTTCAAGTTCTAATTGCTGAATGATTTACCGTATCTCATGATGAGTCCCACGCTCCTGGTACCGCGTGATTCAGAGAGCGATATAGGACGATATTACTTTTCTTGTTTCAGCTTTCCCAGCGTAACTTTGAGAGCGTCATGGGCTGATAAAACATTGAACATTCATGCAGTGAGGTATATGCCTTTTCGGGCGAAATTGAGATATTTTCGCTGATACGGTACGAGGGAGGGTTTCTCATTTCCATTTGCCATAAACAACAACAAAGAAATTGAAAAGTCCATTGGCATATACGTAGCCGCATGTGCATGACTGTTCGCTCCTTCGTTCAGATTCAATTAGTGAGGGAATTAAGTGAATGGGGTTGTCTTTTACTGGAGTTGAAGAGTTGTTCATATTGTCATATCGCTATTTGCAACAGAAAAGGGAAAAGACACGACTGAAGCATCTCTTCGCGTAATTTCTGTGGAACGCACCATAGACAGAACTTCCACATGTATTTGTGCAAATGATTGAATGATTTCCATTCTGTATAGATTTTAGCAATGGTTATTAAGGTGAACAGGTTTGCAGTGATCTGGGTACATAGTGCCGGGTGAAAGGCAAAGAATTCTTTATCTGTACCTAGAAAGATTTCGAGCTATGAAAACGGCAAAGCTGAAGAATGCAATAGAGAACAGTTAGATGTATGATAAGTAATCCAGACGATGTCTGCATTTCCTTATTTAACCGAGACAAATAAGAAATGCCCTTGTCGTATAACCTTATGGCTGTCCTTCTTCACACATAAGAAGCTGCTTTGCCCCTTTGAAATTGCACG